GGTGGTATCTRTGCCCATAGTTGAGGCGGCTGACCGCGCAGACGCCGCTGAGGAAACAGTACTCATTGTGTTTTCTTTTTTATAACAGTTGTTGCTACAGTGTTTAAAGCTTTCTTCAGTAAGCTRTTTTTTCTTTTAAGCGTTGTGTTATATTAGTTTTTAATTGTTTCGTTTCGTTTGAATATATTTTTTGTGTCGTTTTATGTATGTATAATGTTTCTTTTTTTTATAAAATAGTCACAAAGTCCTTTCGCATTTRTATAAATGCGAAAACTTTTTTAGAAATATTTTTTTCACTTTTAATAATTGAAAAAATAATTCACTCGTTATTTAAGGCGCCTGATACGGCTTCTGTAATTGAAGAAAGACAATTAGTTTACAATAACAAAATGAAAAAAAGTGTACTTAAAGAAGTGAATCGTAGAGACATTATGAAATGTAACACTTGCTAATTTTGGCCTTCACGCTTCATTGAAAGCGATATTTTCTTTTTTATATTTGCGTTTTTGTAGTGGGTGTAAACATATTAGTTTCAATATGCATAATAAGGATTAGGAGRTAAAATCAAAGAAATTTTATGCACAACAAAATATTTATTATAAAAGAAAATGTATGTAAATGCTCTTTCGCCGAAATAGCATAGAAACCAGCGTTGCCGATAAAATTATACCGTTATTTGCTACGAATTCACTGACATTTGCAGAAACTGTTAAACGGCATTAAGCCAACATTACCGTTTCTTCGCAAGAGGGTAAGGGGAAACAGYTCGAACAGTGCAAAAAACAACAATGGTGAAATTTCGCAGAGAAACCAATAAAGACGAAAAAAAAACAAATACTTGTGAATTGCCAAAATAAACGAAGACACGTTGAAGARTTTGCAAAATTTTGACAGGGTTGTCGACACTACGAATAATTTCTGCAAACATGTCGTGTACACTTTTAAACAATTTATTAAAACAATATTAAATGTATTAAAATATAGACTAAGATTCAAAAGAAGTGTAGTTAATATACATACAAAAGATCTAATTAGAAACCAAATGCTTATATTGGAATTATATGAATATTCAAGTAATGCGTATTAAAATTAATAAATACACGATTTTTGTCTTCCAAGATTCACTTTAATCGCTTTGTAAATACTTACTTATTCACAATGCAATACATATGTAAATACTTATTACGCCCTCCTGCTGCTTCTTCTCAGTCGTTTTCGCTATCTTGGCAGTCTTGTCTTMTTCGGTCTACTTTTTTTGCGTTTCAATTATCTTTTTTTTTCTTTATTGCTTTTCTGCTCCAAAGTAGTCATCACCAGATGGATTATCCCCCAGTATTAAATTGAAAATTCTTTCTTTTTTGTACGTATATAATTTTCTGCACTTCAATTCCAATCGAAGTATGCAAGTTTCACCTTTCACGTCGTATTACAAATATATGAACTAAAAAAATTGCTAATTTTGCTGCCTATGGCTTTTCTTCAGTCTTATAAATTTTCTCTTTCGTACGGGCACGTTATGGCAATATTAATGATGACGATTATGTGGACACAGACGGGCGCTTTCTTCACACAGTACAGCGGCGCACGTTGGCGCAAGAAAGCGCTGGTTTTGCCGTAGAATTCGCACCTACCCACTGTAGCGTATGTTAATAATATTTCTTTTGATATTTTTAATATCGTTGGAACTTTTCGAAAACCTTTTGCAAGAAACACAAATGGAAAAAAACAAAATAAATATCCACCACCCGACTAACACACACGTCCTGCTACGAATCTCAAATTGGACTGGAGATTTCTATTCGAAAACTTTTGTTATAGCCGATCATTTCTCATTCCGGTGTAATCGATTTTTTGATTTCAGTTGGTATTTGTTTAAACAACAACCGCTCTTGAAATCTTAATGCTAATAAGATYATAAGCAATTATTGCGTGTTTTGTTCCAGGTATTGAGAATATTGAATAGGAATCATTGTTTAAATCTGTTAATTGAGCTTCGTAAAATATCTTGAATAATCGATTGTTGCGTATCTCGCTGATAAAATTTGCACATGACAATAAGGTAAGGTTGCAAGCCGCAGTTAGTTCATTGTTTTATTGTGAATTAAAATCGCATAAAGCATTTATTGAAATAAATTAAAAAGATGTAAGCGCTTTTAAATGATTTGATAGCCTAAAACAATATATTATTAATGAAAATATAAAAAATACAAGAGAAGAAAGGGAAAAGTATAGCTTAAATCTAAACATATTTTTGCACTAATTTTTTGAGAGCGTTTGCATTTCAATTATGTTGAATATTTTCAAATATGTTTTTTAAAAACACCGTTTTAAATGTAAACTCCTAATTCTATTAAACTTGTTTAATTATTTAGTCTTTTTGTGGTGTGTATTTTCTTCTTTTTTCGGTATCAGCTGATGTTGTTAAGCAATCATAAATGCTCTTTTGTTACATTTCTTTTTGATTCTTTGTTTTGCTTTTCATATTCCGTTTTAGCATTGATATTCGTCAATATTTACAAATGTTTAGACGAAAAGCGCGTGCAGATTTTCATGGTCATGCGTGAAATAAGGCGCGAATTTTATCTGTGCACATACTCATACATATGCATAATAAGGAAGCGTACGAGCAATAAGCAAGTGGACCAGTTAGGACAATTTTAAAAGTATTTAATGCTACTTTATAATGAATTCAACTATGGAAACTAGTATTCCAAGAACTTATGAAGCGAAGTGCAAATAAATTATTCGAAATTTATTTTCTTTCTACAAAGAGCAAMAATATATTGACAACCCTTCCATTARATTGGTATAGCCTTCATACTACTGTCTCTTGGGTATTACTAGACATAAAATGTGTTATTATGCCCACAGCAGATCTGGACTACTCAAAACCACGAGGTGATTGAAATGCATGAATTAAATTTTATTTGAAATCGAGGCGGCATTGCTGACACTGATTTTCTCAATCTGTTCCCATGACAATCTGCTCTATGTAGTGAAAGTAGTTACGAATTTATATACGGCCAAGGACTGCGAACTTGGTTGTATTTCTTCTAATTAACTCGCTAAGCTATAGTCGTCATCAAAAGTGGGGTCTCTCATCCGAGGCTGTTGTTGCTTTGTCATTGGGGTGGTTTTTTTGTGAATGTTTCGCCTTCTCATTTTAGCTCACCTTCAAACGGGTGTTCTTAGGCTACCCAGAGGATACTTGGTCAAGGACCGGAAGTCGTGAGCTGCTTGAGTCATATGTAAAAGAATCGTTTCTGGCCATTCCCAAGTGAATGGCGATCAGAAAACTTTCCTCACTTGCGTGAASTTCTACACATGACTCCATCCTCTCTGGCAGTGAACGAGGGCAAGACGAAATATCTCCCGTCATCAAACAAACAGTCGTCGCACTCGCGACTTGGCACTCACGTCACTGTTGACAGTCATAGC